TCTTATTCAACAGTCTTTATTCTCATGATTAATATCTGAGATATCTGGGTCTTAAAAAAAAAACTTGTAAGTTAACATCTTGTTGCACCATTCTGGCCCCCACAGTCATTTCACCAAGGCCCATGATTATTTGAATGTCCTTTATAATTATCATCACCTTGATTTACCCAACAGCTAAAAGTAATGTTTCAGGATTTTTTTGTTTTTTCTATCTACACGTATTTACAGATGTATTGGATTTACTTTGAGAGAGGTTATTTGGTTGTGGCAAGTGAGTAGTTTAGCTGGTGAGTGTTCACAGTTAAAAGTAGCTGTAATGACCCCTGGCAGATGTCACTGTTTTACTGGTGAGACAGAATTTTTCCACCTCGATCCATCTTCATTTATGTCCTTGGTATTGCAAACCAATCTTACTTGATTCTGCAGCCAAGGAGAACTTTTTTTTTTTCCGGGAGTAGGATAAAGTTCGTGGAAATCTGAGTCAGTATTTACAAGACTATTTTCTCCCCTTTTGCAAAAATGTCTAAAATGTTGTAGACGTCCTCAAGCCCATGTGTCTGTAATTATTCAGCCAGTTGCAGAATTTCATTAAGAAGGCTGTAGTCACAGGGGTGGGCAGGAGATCCCGCATATTGCCTGCTATTGGCCAGGTGGCAGCAGCTGACCCACAGTGGGAGAGAATCACCCAAAGGGCCAAGTGTGACATCAAGGTGCATTGCTAACAGAAACAAAATGCTAGATAGCAATGTCAAATTACAAATACTGAAGGGGACGTTTGACTTCTGATTCACTGTGTAGATAAAATGGGTGGAGACAAGGTGGTCAGCTCACTTATCCAAGATACTGATGAGTCCACTGTACTATCACAAAGGGAAATTCACAGGCCTCATTTCTCAAACACCACTTAGGACAAAGCAGGAGAGAGTAAACAGCATCATCTCCATGGCAGCATTGTAGACGAGTAGTAAATCAGGCAGGTAGAGGTCTACACAAGGCTATGAGTGCCCAATTTTTGATAAAAACACATAGACATATATGCAAACCTTATCCTAATATATTGTGGTTTTTTTTTATACTGAATCTTAAAAAGTAGACAAGGGATGTGGTGAATTACGTGGTACTAGAAGTAGACAAATATTTTAACACTTGGCAAAATAGGTAGGAGGAAGAGAGGACAGTAATTTCTCATTTTTGGTAGCAAAACAGTAACAAAGTGAATACAGCAAAGGCCAAACAGTCTACATTAACAGCACACTTGTACATAGCCTCTGTAAACAGATTCCAAAGTCACATTGTCCTCTACTCTTGGTGTGGTATATACAGGTATATTCCCCGAATGACAGGGATCCACAGAAATTAGAGGAATAACATTAGCATAAACTAGGAACAGTGAAACTTTAATACACTGGGATACATTCCTCTTCTGCTTTCTACTGTAAGATGGTGAGCTCCTATTAAGGATGTGGTTCCAAAATCCAACTTCTAGAGTACGTGCTACCCATGCACATTCAGTCCAATTTATTTCAATTTTGATGTTTAATCTATAACATGGAGAACACTGGTATGCAAAATAATATCAGAAAATTCTCAAGATTAAAAAAATTATCAAAGATCAAATCACATTTACTAGAGCTAAACTTGTCAAGGTAGGAAATCATACTAATACATTTTATAATTATATCATTTCAGATGCAAACAAAAAGGTTTCTGGTTAACCTTGACTTTTAACAAAATGGTCAATTTATGCCACTGACCCAAACACAAAGGTGAATCGGGATTTTCCTGTGTGTAAAGTAGTTGGTCTGTGGCATCAAAAGCCAATAATCTAGAAAGACATAATTAGGAAAGCACTCAAGATAAACACATGACAGTTGAAGCTGTGACATTTTTCTCATGGTCATAAGAATAGAACAATCTATATTAAAAGTTCTAGTGTTCACTTGGTAAACAGTAGAGCATCTTAACACTTTAAATGTTGAATTACCTCCAGACACAGACTTCTACCTCACCTCTTTTACTACTTGTTCCAGAAGTGTTTCTATTATTGATGTAATGAAATATCTCCTCTGCATATTCTCAAAACTAAAATGCATAAAAAGGACCTAATGATATCTAAATGAAATGAAGGACAAAACCAAGCAACTTTCAACCCAAGGTATGTCCATGCAGATCAAGGAAGGAATAACTAAGCAAGTTCCAAGAGTGTGCCAGGAAAATTGTTTTGCAGCTTCATTTGTTGAATGAACCTAAGGTGTCACAAATAATGTAGTACCAAATGTCGGAAGCTATCTCACAGATTGAAGTGAAGGAAAATTTTCAAATAAGGTTTTATTGTGGGAATAACTTAAGTTGGTATCATAATATAAAAACACTGCCATCTTGAATAGGTTCCTATCTTATTTATCCTATCTTATTTTTCCATTTGATGATATATTTCTGTTACTGTTTCTAAAAGCTATTCTCAACTATTGAATAAGCAACAAACCAAGCAAGGTTTTGTAATATTTTGTGACAATTTCTAGAGTGTTGTAGAAGTAAAGAATTTAGTTCTAGCACCAAAGAAAACCAGTTAAACTTGCTACATCGAACGTTTTCTCTTAAAGTTTTAATTCTAAGAGAAAATTTAATTTTAAGAGGCACACTACGAGACTAAATTTAACAACTTTAATTTATTTAATGTGGGACAAATGCCTACAACTCTCTTAGGCCTCTGCTTCATTTAACTATTTATAAATCATGTGCTTACTCCAGATTCATGAAAATAAATATGATTACCGGATGCTGAATTCCTTCTTCTCCTATTTTAATGCAAGAACAGCCTGTTCTAGCTACTCCACAGCGGAGGATTACCTGGGGCCCACCCATCTGGAGTGAGCACAGTTGACAGCTGCTGCCGTGTACACAGGGTGTACTCTGTGTCTACACAGCATGTATCTCGATGTCAAGGGAGATGGCCAGCGAGCAAGGGCTAGGAGAGAGATTATGTCCTGGCAAAGGCATCTGAGACAGAAGTGACTCTAGTGTAACTATAAATGGGTATTTAAGGCCAAAAGAGAGAGTTTGAGACTAAATTTTTGATCATCAATAGTAATTTGATTGGTAGTTTGATGGTAATTCTGACTTTAGGGAGCATTTTTAACAGAGGCCAATTGGTAAGAAACTGGAAAGTGTGTCTTATTAAAAAATTCCTAAGTTGCAAGTATAACAACTGTAATTACCATTCTCAGGTTCTGAGAAGGCTGTGACTTCACTTATGCAGGCTTCGTCTACGTCCGATTGCTGTGAAAGAAACCAAAGCCTTTTTACTAACTGAGGTTGTGTCCAACGTAGCTTGTGGTGTTAAAGTTCAGGTAGGATTTCCACGCCCCTCCCCCACAATATGTTCAGAATCTGCAAAATAGAATTAAAATGGAAAAAGCCAACACAGATATTGTGAACTGAATGTACAGATGGGATGTATGAGTCTCTGGGGAGAGAATCCATGGTCAGACACTCTTTGGTGGCTCATCAGGGAAATGAGTGCAGAGAAGGCAACCAGTGCCCTCCAATATCCAACAGTCTGGTTTTCTAAATGCAAGATGGAGATTAGCTCTCTCCCTACAGTGAATCCGGAAAGTCTTTCCAAGGCCCTAGCTTGTTCCCCCTTTCCACACTACCCCAACGCTCAAGCCACTGCTGCTCATCCCAGGCCAGTGCCTTGGAAGACACTCTTGTGTCCTGGGGACATGCTCCTCTGGAGGCACGAGAGGGCTGAGCTCAGACAGCTGCCTGTGTTCTCAAGGAACACAACCCACCCAAAGCTCAAGCCATGTTTTTGTAAAGGCCTCTTCTTTTGTTCAGTTTAAAGGGTGAGCTATGATGGCATTTCTCTTAAAATCAATAAGTTTGCAGAAGTCACCTTTTTATTCCAGATTATAAACTTAAGCAATTAGCTGATACTAGGCTACATACAAAAACTGTAAGGGAGCTAGTGTTCTATTTGGTGTTGACCATATTTGCTATTAGAAGCCACTGAACCAAACTGAAAGAAAAACACAAAATTGCATCCTGTTTACAGGAGCCTAAATGAAACATTGCTTTTGTTACTCATGAAGCTTTCCTTTTATCAGTACAGAAAAAACTGTATTTGGTAATCTCCTATTAATAATTCCTTACCAGAACCTTGGCATTCTCAGTAGAATATTAGTGGAGAACACTTGTACAACATAAACTTTAGTATTATCCCCAATTTGGTGATTCTTTTTAAGAATTCAGTCTCATGTATTTCCTCTAGGGGAAGAAAATATGAATTACATTTGGTCAGAATTATAGAGATACAGCTTGCCTTCAGGGCAAGAAAATGTGTATATACAAATAAATCTATTTTTGATGTCGGCAATATTCCATATTCAAAAGCTTAGCCAATTTTCCTAATATAACTTTCTTGCTTTTATTAGCAACTATAACAAGGTTTATAAAAAGGGTTATCTGAAGATGTTTACAAATATCAATTCATATTAGGTATTTTACACATTGAATTGCTTTTATTTCATGTTATCTGGCCTAGGAATGAGTCAATTTTGTTTCAATTCTTTTAAATTATGGTTCCTACCACCTACTTAAATTTTGTGTGATAACAGCATTCTTATTGCAATAGGACTAGAAATTATAACAGTATTTTTGCTGATAGTGTTTTTGCTACTTTTAATATAAAGCAGGGATTTTAATGGAAATACCATTGTATAATAAACTGAGGCAGTAATACAAAATGACACACGTATAATGATAATGCTATTTCTATAAGCAACACCATATTTATAAAAAACCCAGTGCATATTATTTCCACTTAATTAAGGTTGCAAACCTTTCGTGAGGCTTGCTTCTCTTCTCTCGTTCTTTCTTTTAAATCGAAATGACATTTTTATTTATGGAGCTCCAGTCAAAGGACCTAATGCTTTTTTTTAATAGCAATTTCCTATAGTTATTGCAATACTTGCTTTTTCTTCCTGGTCTCACAGAAAAACACCAAATCAGCCCTGACACAGATAAAGACTTAGGAATTCCGTAAGTGCGTACACGGACCCCCAGACATGTTCCCTTTCAATCTAACACAGAGGAAGGGGCAGGACGAACACAGCAGTTGGGGCGTCGAAAGTTCTGCAGCATGGACTGGAAAACGCGGTGCTGCCTTCCTTTGAGCTTCTTATTCGAAGAAGTATCCGAGGAGATGGATCTCCGGCTCTGGCCGCTCTGAGTTTTGGTTAATTTCTCATGCTCTCTGATTTGTCTTTGTAGATGGTTCTGGATCGCGATTCCTAGGGACTCCGGGTCCAGGGATGCGCCGTACACTTCCCAGGTCATTCCCTGCTCATCCCACACCACGTCTTTGACACGCTTGGACTGTTTCAACTGAAGCTTGGATTCCGCGCCAAGCTGCTTCTTCTTCTCTCCTGGAGTGAGTCCCACCTGGGCGGCAGCCGCCGTCACGTTTAACTTCTGCTCCTTGAGGAACTCGCTGACCCGGCTGGGCCTGCGTGGGCTGGCCTTGACCGAGCGCGAAGGGGTCTTCTTGCCAGAACCCGGGCTGGAGTCACCCATGGCATCGGAGGGCAGGCTCAGGCTGGTGGCTGTCTTGGGCTGTCTATTTTCTTCTAAGGCACCCTCCTGGTTCTTTCTAACCGGGGAGGGTGTGGGACTCACAGCTGAGCCTGCGCCTCCACTGTCTTGACATTGGGGATTGAGCAGTCCGGTTTTGGCATCCAGGGCATCGGTGCCAGTAGACTCTTGTTCTTTTACTATCTCAGGAGACCGTGCGCTTCCTTTGTTGGAGGGATCCAAGCTCCCAGACTGGTCAGCTTTGCTGGCAGGGCCACAGGAGGCGGACAGTTTGCAATCTGGGTCTGTTTTGTGGCCATGTGTGGTTTGCGCTGCAAGCTCAGGTGGCTTGGTTTCGAATTTTCCCAGTGCATGACTTGTTTCAGCTTGACTGTCTGCACTGATGGAAATCTCGTCCATGGGGCCAGCTTTCAGGGAGCTGGAATTAGTACCCGAGAGCTGGGGAGCGCTGAGTTCTTCCCTCCCTGGAGTCATTGCTGCTGACGCCCCATCTTCTTTCCGCATGTCCTGGTTGTTACTGGAGGCCACCTTGACGGATGAGGCTTTAAGCACCTCACCTGGCAGGCTCCCTGGTTTACTTGCCCCCTGGCAAGCTGTGGAGACAGCTGCAGCTGCCTGAATGTGCACCTCTGGCATGATACCAAGGCAGCGACCCGCCTCCAGGGGGGCCGGCGTGCTGGCAGAGAGCTCTAACGTGTGGCTCCCAGCGCCACTGCCGTGGCAAACAACACACAGCTGCTCTTGTTCAAAGCGCCCGGGAGCAGGGCTTTCCTTTAAGAATGCAGCCAGGATGCTGGGGCTGGTGGAGACCGATCTGCTCTGGACACTCGCCACTGCCTGCACCTCCACGTCTTGCCGAGCCCGGCCGGGACCTGCCTTCATCTCCCCTGCAGCTTGGTTGGTCATCGTACTGGCTTCTCTGAACCTTGACATCTGCTGTCGTGCCGGAGGCAGCCCCGTCTCTGGCTCTGGAGGATGTGCCGAACCTTCGCTAGCGAGGGCGGGTGGTGGAGGGGTCACAGAAGTTATGCCTTGGGGGTCAGAGGCAGTGACAGAGGGCTGCCTGTCCTCTGAACATCCATCTTCTCCAGCTGGAGGTTCACAGGACCTAGTCTCGGAGTCGCAGAGAGCTCCCTGCCTCTCCCCTTCAGGTCCGCTTCCAGGACAGTGAACTGAACTGGACGCCTTAGCCACTGCATTTGGAGACTGCACCCTTCCCTGCACTGCGTTTTGAGAAGGAAACTCACAGGACACCTGATCTTTGCTGCTACAGGTGTCTCCTGCAGGACAACTTGGCTTCTCAGGTTGCACCTCATCTGAGGTTCTCTGTGATCCCACCAGGGAATCTTCGGGTACCGATGGGGGGCTGGCACCGCACTGATCACCCGGGATGGTCTGGTGGGCGTGCTGATTGGCTGGCATTGGAAACGGTGCGTGTACAAGAGCCTTTCCTGCCGCGGGACTTGGGGCTGGCGCCGGGGGCTGGCTGCTCCCTGGCAGCTGGGGACTGGCAGGAGAGTTGAGCGCAGGAGGTGCTTTCTCCACTTCACTGAAGACACCGGGGGAAGGCATGTCTGGCTGGGTGCCCTCATGCCCCCGAGCCTGCATCAGGGGCTTGGCGGCTGCCGTGGGGCTGAGGTCTGCCTCTGCAGGGGCGCCTGCAAAGCCATTGGCGTTCTGACACAGGACAGCCGGGCGGTGTGGGGGCGAGGCCGTCCGGCCCTCTCCCAGATCCTCTTCCTTTCCAGCAGCTGCAATCAGAGACGTTTTAGCCGCCCTCAGAGGGTCAGGTACAGTCCCCATGGACTTCCTCTTCAGGAACACTCCAGAGCTCTCCCGGGAGCAGTGTTCCCACTGGGCTGCAGTGGGAGCTCAGAGTCAGACCCAGTCAGGGACGGTTCTTCTGAAGACCCAGCCTGCGAATCAAGGAAACAGGACCATTAATACGGTACATCATTTAAGAATGAAAAATAAAGCAAATTGTCATTTTTATAAGATCTCCTGAGCACAGTAAACCTTCCCTTCCCTTATCTGTTGATACAAGAGTAGACCTTGAGAAGAAACATTTTGAAAAAAATATTCTAATTATACGAATATTATTTTGATATATTAGTTTCTGCTTGCATCCCACTGCTGCCTGGCAAAGAGGTATTTAAAGTATCTACTTAAGTTTGATAACTACCTCAGAAGTTGTGTAATCTGATTTACCAGATATCAGAAAATCCTGTAAAGCTACTGTCATTGAATCAATAAGTATTGAAATACCCCTCACCAGATATGTGAAATGGGATATCTAGAAATAGATCTAAATATAAATGGGGACTTAATATATGACAAAAGACGCATTTCAATTTGGCAACAAAAGGATGGCTTATTTAATGTAGGGGCTGGTAAACTGTTTATTCATCGGGAAGAAAAGAAAACTAGATCTTCTTATACCAATTCCAAAAATAAATATTGGGTGGATTTAGATGGATTAAAAGTTAAAATGTAAACTAAATCATTAAATATTTAATAAATAAAAATCCTGTAAGACAATCTAGGAATCATAAATGTAATCTAGGGGAGCCAGGCTTCTTTCGACAAGGTAGACACTGTAAGAGAAAACATAAACATAGGTGACTAAATAAAATTCAAACATTTTGCATGACCAAAGATACCATAAAAATGCAATATATTTGAAAACAAAAATTTGCAACTCTAAAGGACAGGCAAAAATGTCTATAATATAGCAGGAGCTCTTAAAAATTTACAAGGAGACCAAATAATCCATTGGAAAAATGGATAAAGAATATGAGGGCACCGTTTGCAAGATAGGAAATCCAAATAACCAACAAGCTTATGAAATGATGATTAAATTCTTTGGTAGTCAAATACATGCAAATAAAGTATCAATGAGATTTTTCTTCACACCAATTGCACTTGCAAAAATTTAAAAAAATAAAAAAGACTTGGAACACTACAGCCTGGGGAGACCTAGGAAAAGAAAGTATTTTTTTTTTTTTTTTGAGACGGAGTGTCACACTTTTGCCCGGGCTAGAGTGCCGTGGCATCAGCCTAGCTCACAGCAACCTCAAACTCCTGGGCTCAAGTGATCCTACTGCCTCACCCTCCTGAGTAGCTGGGACTACAGGCATGTGCCACCACGCCTGGCTAATTTTTTCTACATATTTTTAGTTGTCCAATTAATTTCTTTCTATTTTTAGTAGAGACGGGGTCTCGCTCTTGCTCAGGCTGGTTTTGAACTCC